AGGACCTGGCCCTGTTCCCTCTTCCTCTTCTGACACTGTCCCCTTCCAAACTGTCATTACTATTAAAAGCTTGCTTTGGTTGTCTAGATCTAAACACCTCAATGTTACATCTCACAACAGAAACTCCAAAGGTACCTGAACCTTCTGCCCTGGGTGGGCACTTGCATGTGCACATACCCGTCCCCATACACACAATTAAAAAATAATAAAAATAAGCCTGGCATGTGGAGCACACCTTTGATCCCAGGACTTGGGCAGATTTCTATGAGTTCAAGGCCAGCCTGGTCTACAGAGAGAGTTCTGGGATAGGCAGGGTTATGCAGAGAAACCCTGTCTCAAAAAACCAACAAACAAAAATTCAAAACAAAATAAAACGTACTATTAAGAATAATAATTTATGGGCTGGAGAGATGGTTCAGAGGTTAAGAGTACTGACTACTCTTCCAGAGGTCCTGAGTTCAATTCCCAGCAACCACATGGTGGCTCACAACCATCTATAAAGAGATCTGGTGCTCTCTTCTGGCATGCAGGCATACATGCAGGCAGAACACTGTATACATAATAAATAAATAAATAAATCTTTTTTTAAATAAATAAACCTTTTAAAAAAAAGAATAATAATTTATGCCAGGTGGTGGTGGCACATGCCTTTAATCCCAGCACTTGGGAGGTAGAAGCAGGCGGATCTCTGTGAGTTTGAGGCCAGCTTGATCTACAGAGCGAGTTCCAGGAAAGGCTCCAAAGCTACACAGAGAAACCCTGTCTCGAAAAACCAAAAAAGAAAAAAAACTTTTTAAATCTTTGTTGTTGTTGTTGTTGTTGTTGTTGTTTTGTTTTGTTTTTCGAGACAGGGTTTCTCTGTGTAGCTTTGCTCTGTGTAGCTTTGCGCTTTTCCTGGAACTCACTCTGTAGCCCAGGCTGGCCTCGAACTCACAGAGATCCTCCTGCCTCTGCCTCCCGAGTGCTGGAATTAAAGGTGTGTGCCACCACTGCCCAGCAATTTAAAAAATCTTAAGGCTAGTTATAGTAGCACATGCCTTTAATCCCAGCATTCAGGAAGCAGAGGCAGACATATCTTTGTGAGTTACATGCCCCCCAAGGCTACATACATAGTGAGACCCTGTCTCAAAAAATAGAAAAAACATAAAATCTTTTTTTTAAAATCATAACAGAAAACTCCCAAAATCTGGAGGAAAAGATGTCCATCCTTGGATAAGAGGCATATAGAACACCAAGACCAGAAAATAAACTCCATATATCATATTATAGTTAAAACCACTAACTTAAAAAATTGTATTGGGGGCTGGAGGGATGGCTCAGAGGTTAAGAACACCGGCTGTTCTTCCAGAGGTCCTGAGTTCAATTCCCAGCAACCACATGGTGGCTCACAACCATCTGTAATGAGATCTGGCTCCCTCTTCTGGCCTGCAGGGATGCATGCAGACAGAACACTGTATACATAATAAATAAATAAATCTTTTAAAAAAAAAATTGTATTGGGATCGCCTAAGTACAGAATCTCTATTTTGTATGATGGAAAAGCCCCACAAACGGAGAGTAGTATCAGGACATAATATCATGAATGTAATAAATCAATACAGTTAATGTAATTAATGAATATCATAAATATAGTTATTGAATGAATACTGCAAATGTAATCAATGAATACTACAAATGTAATTAATAGCATGAGTGTAATTAATGGATATCATGAGTGTAATTAAAAAAAGAAAGAAAAGAAATTGCATTGGAAGTTACAAAATAAAAATATCAAGGCACATATTAAGGCAAGCCCATAAAAACACTAGCAGACTGCTCAATAAAAGCTTTAAAATCCAAAAAGGCTTGGAGAAATATGTTTCAGGTTCTGAAAGACAAGAGCTGCCAAGACAGACTACTATACCCAGCAAAACTATCTGTTGTAATTGAAGGATAAAGAAAATTTTTCTATGATAAAAGCAGGTTAAAGAAATTTTTGACCAATAATGCAGCTCTACAGAGGTCACTAAAAGGAATTCTTCAGGCTTAGGGAAAGATAAAATACAAGAGTCTACAGAAAAATCTAAGTCATGCTAGAACATAGTAAATATGGGTAACTTTGATACCTTATTCTCATCTGTATCCTACAGGGGTTATTCTAACAAAAGTTAAACAGAGACACATCAGAGTTAAATGGCATCATATATCAAATGGACTTAACAGACATCTAGAGAACATACCATGCAAATACTGCAGACTATGCATTTTTCTCAGCAGCTGTGGAACTCCCTCTAAAATAGGCCATATACCAGGACACATAGCATGTTTCAATAAGTATAGAAAAATTGTAGTAACTTCTTATATTTGATCAGACCATAGTGGAATAAAGCTAGAAATCAACCATACAATGGATATCGCTCTGTATAAATAAAACACTGATTGGCCAGTAGCCAGACAGGAAGTCTAGACAGGACTAGGAGAGAGGAGAGAGGAAAAGAAGAGGAAGGTAGAGGGAGGGGAGACACCAGCTGCCATTCAGGGAGCATCATGTAGAGACAACAGGTAAAGCCATGGAACACGTGGCAACATATAGATTAACAGAAATGGGCTTAGTATAAGAGTAAGAGCTAGACAATGGTAGGCCTGAGCTAATAGCCGAACAGTTGCCATATGGTGGCTCTGTAACTCCAGCCCCAAGGTATTTAACACTCTCTTCTGGCCTCCAGAGGCACCAGGCAGGAGTAGGGCTCACAGATACTCATGCAGGCAAAACACCCATACACATACAATAATAAATTTTTAAAAAATTCAGAGAAAACAGCCCAGCTATGGTGATGCATGCCTTTAATCCCATCACTCAGGAGGCAGAGGCAGGTGGGTCTTTATGAGTTGGAGGCCAGCCTGGTCTACAAAAGTAAATCCAGGACAGCCAGGGCTGTTAAACAGAGAAACCTTGTCTCAAAATACCAAAACAAAACAAAACAACCAAAAGTAGTAGACAGGAATAAACATAGGGCAAACATTAATGAAATAGATATAAACAAATACAAGGAATCAATAAAATAAAGCTTTAGTTCCTTAAAAACATATAGTATTGACAGACCCTTAGCCAAACTAGCCAAAAGAAAGAAAGAAAAAGCCCTAATTAACAATATTCAAAATTGGCCAGTCATGGTGGCACATGCTGTTCACATTTGCACTCACTTTGGGAGCAGAGGTCAGTGAATCTCTGCCAGTTCAAGGCCAGCCTGGTCTATCTAGTGAGTTTCAGCAAGACTGCACAGTGAGACCCTGTATCTTAGGGTTTTATTGCTGTAAATGACCACGACACCACCATGACCACGACAACCCTTTCTTTTTTTTTTTTTTTTTTTTTTTTGGAGACAGGGTTTCTCTGTGTAGTTTTGGTGCCTGTCCTGAATCTCACTCTGTAGACCGGGCTGGCCTCGAACTCACAAAGATCTGCCTGGCTCTGCCTCCCGAGTGCTGGGATTAAAGGCGTGCACCACTGCTGCCTGGCACAATAACTCTCATAAAGGAAAACTTCCAATTGGGGCTGGATTACAGCGTCAGAGGTTTAGTCCATTATCATCATGGTGAGAAGCATTACATCATGCAGGCAGACATCAGAAGGAGCTGAGAGCCTCGAACTCAGAGATCCACCTGGTTTTGCCTCCCAAGTGCTGGGATTAAAGGCATGCGCCAACACTGCCTGGCTAAAATCTTTTTTCTGAGTCCTAAACCTTACACTAGAACTCCCTACTGCTTGGGAACCAGAGTGCCCCCAGTCAAGCTCCATGGGGTGAACTGCATCTATAATGTGGGGTAGTTCCTGGGAAACTGAACTTCACAGCTTGAAATTTCCCCAAATCATCTCAGACAAGAGGGCTGAAGGCCATGGAGGACCCGAGGTATTTCTAAAGCAGCTTTTCTCTTTGAGTCTCTCAAGACATGATAAATATTAATGGGGTAAGGGATGGCGTTTACATAGATTTGGAAGACTATAAAGACGTGTCTCTGAGATGATGCTTGGACTGTGCTTTTCTTGCTCTCACATCGCTAAGGCTGTGCATTTGCTGCTTGTCCCCTTGGAATTGGGATATATTGATTTAGGAAATACAGTGTGTTTTGTTTTGTTTTTTGCTTTGGTTTTTTAGACAGGACTTCTCTGTGTAGCTTTGGAGCCTGTCCTATAACTTTCTCTTGCTCTGTAAACCAGGCTGGCTTCAAACTTGGATCCATCTGCCACTGCCTCCTGAGTGCTGGAAGTAAAGGCATGTGCCACCACTGCCCATTTTTGTGTTGTTGTTCTAAAGGATGTGTTCGAAATAGCCCTGGTGGAGCTGGCATAAGTTCTTGGTAAGAACTTGAAAATGGGGTATGGCGGTGCATGTCTGTAATTCCAGAATTCAGAAGGTAGAGAATTGAGGATAAGATGTTCAAAGTCATCCTCAGCTACATACTAAGTTTGAGACCAGCCTGAGATACACGTACCCCTGCCTAAAAATTAATAAAATTTAAAAACCTGGAGTTGTGGCTCAGTGATAGAGCAGTTGCTCTATCAGTAGTCTTATCGGTAGCCCAGAGTGACTTGTAACTCACTAGGTAACCAGGCTAGCCTTGAACTCATGGTGGTCCTCCTACCTTAGCCTTCCCAGTGCTGAGGTTGCAGGCATGAGCCTCCATGCCCAGCTGAAAACCCATCATCCTGTTTCATTTAAATGACATATGCAGGAGGCTGTTTACCGCCTCCTGGTACTTTTCTCATACTGCAGTGACCCTGAGTTGTCCATTAATCCCAGCTTATACTCTTGCGGGGAGCACTGACATGGAACCCCTCATTTTCCTTCTACAGTTCTCTAGCCAGTCTGAGGCCTCTGACAGTAACCAGCAGTTACAACATGCCATGGAGGAGCAGGCTCAGCTGGAGACCCACGTAGGCCAGGTGAGGATTTGTGGGGGAGGAGGGCATGACCTCAGGTGGCCAAGGGCAGGTGAGAACTAGTGACAGCCCTTCGTAACTTGTGCGTTGACTGATGCAGCTGATGGAGTTGCTGAAACAGCTCCAGATGGAGAGGGACCAGTATGCAGAGAACCTGAAAGGAGAGAGTGCCATGTGGCAGCAGAGGATACAGCAAATGGCAGAGCAGGTGAGGCCTGGCCCCTGGGGTCCTTGCTCTTCCTGCACACCAGTAGGGTGCAGCTGAGGGGTGAGGGGCTTCAGTTTTACAGAGGTGGGACTGGGACTAGATGATGCCTGAGAGCTCCAGCTCTTTCCCTATGCCTTTGGGCAGGTGCACACACTGAAGGAAGAGAAGGAATACAGACAGAGTCAGGTACAAGAGCTGGAGACCAGCTTGGCAGCACTCAGGAGTCAGATGGGTGAGTAGGGCAAGAATGACTTGAGAACAGGAGTGGGCCCAAGGGCCAGGAAGGTGGTTTCCATTGCCCTGGGGAGGCAGTCAGGTACAAGGGCATTGTAGCAGAGGGCAAGGGGTCTCTGCCAGGAGGTGGCAAGTCTTGTCCCTCTGAGCATGTGTCCTCCTTCTGTGCAGAGCAGGGTGCCATGCCTACTGCTCCCCCTGCAGGTGACTGAGCATCACAGAACGGTACTAGAGTGGCTTAAAATGCTCACCTCGTCTTAGAGCCTGACAGAAAAGAAGCCAAGGCTTGGGGCAGGAAGCCTGAGCTCACAATGGAGTCTATCTGAGAAGCCAAGGGTGGATCCCCTCACTGTGCCTGCTTCCTTTCTCAGAGGAGCCACCACCCCCAAAGCCTGAGGCGGGGCCTTCTGAGGTCGAAGAGCAGCTGCAGGGAGAGGTTGAGCAGCTGCAGAAGGACCTGGAGAATCTGATGGGACAGCTGAAGGCCCAGGTGCAGGACAATGAGAGCCTGAGCCTCCTGAACTGGGAGCAGGAGGAGCGGCTGCTGGAGCTGGAGCGGGCGGCCGAGCGCTGGAGTGAGCAGGCAGAGGAGCGCAAGCAGATCCTGGAGAGCATGCAGAGTGACCGCACGACCATCAGCAGAGCACTGTCGCAGAACCGAGAGCTAAAGGAGCAGTTGGCTGAGCTGCAGAACGGCTTTGTCAGGCTGGTGCGGAGCCTGCAGGCCCTCTTTACTCACAGGGAACACAGCCCTTCTGGTCAGCACTCGAAAGGGATGGGGTGCTGTCCACCTCATGTGCAATGATTGTGAGTGGTGAAGGCACCCTGCAAGCCAGAGCTCCAGGGTGTGTGGGAATGATCCAGTAGTCTTCCCTGCTCTGTGGGAGGAGGGGCACATGCAGGTCTGTGCACCCTACCCACATTGGGTCCTGTTGACTGCTGCTTTCTGTCCAGACCAACAAGAACATGAAGATTACCAGTGCCCTGTAGTTAGGGCAGCATGTCAAAAAGGAGCTGACAAGAGGCTGGGGGAGCTGCAGGAGATGGTGAACCCATAGAGGTAGAGGCAAAAAGATCAGGCGTCCAACATCACCCTCAGCTACATATGGGCTCAGCCTGAGGGACATGAAACCCTGCCTTAAAATGACACAAAACAGGCTGGTCAGATGTCTCAGTGGGCAACACTGCTGCACAGACCTCATGACATGCGTTCAATACTTGGAATCTATATAAAGGTAGAAAGAGAACCGACTCCACACGATGTCCTTTTCTGGAAGACTATTAACCCGTGAGTCATCTCTCCAACCCCCATTTATTTTGTAACCACCACATTCAGCTACCCCCATTTTAAAGGCTGTGGTATAGACAAGACTTGGCCAGGTGTGTCTGGATGCTGTTGCCTGCACCTTCAGAAGTCAGAGAGAGAGGCAAATCCAATAGCAACCAGTGTCCAGGAATGCCTTCTCTGGTTGCCCCAGAGGTAGCAGAGATGAAGCCTGGCCTGGCATGGTATCAGCAGTTCTGTCCAGCGGGCAGTCTGCAGGGTTGAGAGTATTCCTAGGGCACAGAGCACAAAGACTCCATCTGGCCTCAGGCAGTACCCAGACGCTGTCCGCCCCCTGCTTTGCACTAGCCTGAACTCTGCCTATGTCTGGGGACAGGCTGCTGACCCTTGGCATTCCTGCAGAGACCCTATGAGACAGAAACAGACCAGGCTTTCAGAACGCATGCCTGCTGGTAGGATGAATATCACCAAGATTATCCGCTATGAATGCAGGGTGACACTTCATGTGCCAAAAGTTGGCTGACCCTGCCCCAGCCCTAGCTGTTTGGCTCTAGGGCCCTCATTCCAACTGGGGTAGGACAGAACCCTTATTCTCTTCCTGAATGAGAGGCCTCCATACCCCTATCTGTACAGAACCCTACCCCCAACCTTAATCATCTCTCACTCCCACTCAGGGGCTGAATTTTCTCTGCTTATAGCTTGGCACCAGACCAGATCAGACAAAGATGATCTGAAGTCAAGTTTCCAAGGCCTTTTGAAGGCAGGAATTTTATTGGTAGGGAGAGTCACTGTTCCCAGGATGTCCACCCAGCCTGCTTTGGCTTTTCTGCATGAGGTCCTGACAGGTGCCAACAGCTTGAATAAGCTCCTTAGGGAATAGCTGAGCTTTTGCAGACTCTCCCCTCCACCTTCATCTGGTTCTGCTACCCATCACCTGCAGATCCCAAGTGTTCTGCTTGTTCTCTGATATTACTCTTCCCATCTGCAAAGCAGAGTGATGGCCCTAATCTCCCAGGAATGTGATGGGACTGAAATGGCTTCTTGGATGTGAAAAGGCTCTGTATAGGCCCATGGAAGACACTTAGAAAGATAGTTTCTTCCCTTTGGCTTTCTCTGAGGCCCCTCCTCGGGCTGCTGCCACACCATCATCTGAATCGTCATTGTCAGCAGATTTGGTGAGTCAATTGGGATTTCTTAAAGGGAGGAATTAGTTAAAAGAAAGTTTTTTCCCCACATTAAAAAATGGGAAACATTGTTTACAACGGAGGGCATTTAGTCTCTGTTTGATAATACATTGGACAATCTAAAAATGGAACAATTAAATGAGAGGATAATTAATGTTGATGGGGTAGATGTAATGTCAATTACAAATATTACTTGTTTGATCATTAAAAAGTTGGTTAATATGAGTACCAAGATAAAAGTTTTAGAAAAACTTGTTAAAACAGATCATAGAGCCGGGCGGTGGTGGCGCACGCCTTTAATCCCAGCACTCGGGAGGCAGAGCCAGGTGGATCTCTGTGAGTTCGAGGCCAGCCTGGTCTCCAAAGCGAGTTCCAGGAAAGGCGCAAAGCTACACAGAGAAACCCTGTCTCGAAAAACCAAAAAAAAAAAAAAAAAAACAGATCATAGAGATATTCAGATCCAGACAGAAGAATTTAAAGGAGAACCAATGTCAACATTGCATTATAAAGTTACAGAAAAACAGCCTAAGGCTTTCAAACAGCCAACCTTAATCTATCCAGTAACCTTACAGGAACTGCCAAATACTCAAGGCTGCGTAAGAGCTGACTGGATTCCTGTGCAAATGTTAGATTTGAGGAGATTCAAAGATGCAATAGTCTCATATGGCATCCACTCATCTTTTGTGAAGCAGATATTAAACTCATGGTCAACTTGTAATAGAATTATCCCTCAAGACTGGAGAGATTTGGTTACAGCTGTCTTAGAGGCTGGTCCCCAGTTACAATGGAGGACCTGGTGGAGGGATGAGGCTAAGACCATTGAACAATAGAGTAGAGCTAGAGGTCTTGAAATCTCCCAAGATCAACTTCTTGGAAAGGGAGATTATGCTAATGTAGAAAGGCAATCTCAATATGATGACCACACCCTAGCTTTATGCCAAATGCTTGGGACAGAATTGAAGAAGTAGGAAAGAAAATTGAGTCATTTACAAAAGTTATACAGGGCCCAAAAGAAACCTTCACTGATTTCTTACAAAGGCTGTCTTCAGCAATAAATAGAATGATACCAAATTCAGAAGCTAGACAGATAATAAATGAATCTCTGACTTTTGAAAATGCCAATGCACAATTCCAAAGGGTAATTAGGTTGTTAAAGGCAAGATCAGCACCCTTGGAGGAATGGATCTGAGATACAATTAGTATTGAATCTCATGACCATGATGATGCTTCGATAGGAGAGGTGATTTCCAGAGGTTTGAAGAAAAATAGTAATGTCAAATATTTCAATTGCGGTAAACAAGGTCACCAAAAAAGGGACTGTAAGCAGGGCATTCCTAGAAATAATGTTTTCTTAAGGAATAATCCCAACAGAACGCCCCTCCCTTCTGGATTATGCAGAAGCTGTGGCAAAGGCAGACATTGGACTAAAGCATGTAGATCAACAAGGGACAAACAAGGTAATCCCTTACCTTTGCTGTCCGGAAACACCCTGAGTGGCCTCTCACAGGCCCCCATGTCAAATTTGGTTCAGTCCTTTCCTGTCATCACAGAAGAAACTCCTCCCCAGAGCAATTAAAGAATCTAATGCCTATTGTAAAAAACCATACTGCTCTGGATGATAGAACAGCTATAGAAGAGAGAACAAAAAATTCAGGAGAAACCTTAAATCAAAATTGATAAAGATTAGATAGGGAACCTCCTCAAATTTAGGGTTGGGGAAGGGTTTTGTTTTTGTCTTTCAGGAGAATGAAGGCTAAGAAATCTAAAGAACACTGGACAAATGAGACATCTGAAGAAAAAGGAAAAATCACCAAGAAAAAAGTCCCATAAAAAAAAGCTTTTCTGCAATGAACCAGGACCATGCCTAACAGCAACTTTTAGGTCTCCAAAAAGATGATGGGACCCCACAACGATGATTCCATCAGGACAATGATAACGCCACCAAGCTGACAAACACCACCCAAAGATCAGCTTTGGACTACAAACTGCTCAGGACAATATCGAGATGGCTAGCTGAGATGATACAGCCTCACAGTCTACTCTAGTCAGGACTTGACCATAATCCTAACTTTTCTTTGTATCCCCATAAGAATACCAGCACCCCCAGTCAACAGGAAGTAGCCTAGAAAACTACAGCCATATTTACAAAAGATGAATTATGAGTGTTTGTCTTTGTTTAGGGGTTGGTTAAAAATCGTTATTAGTCATAGTCAATATATTTCTAAAAGAAGAAATGGAGGTATAATATAGAAATGTATTATATAGAAATGATAAAATAAAAGAGTAGATTATTGAATCTACTCTGAAAAGAAAAAAAAGAGGATATAGCTATAATAAGATAAAAGGTAGATTATTGAATCTACTCTGAAAAAAAAGATAAAGAAATGATGGATAAAGGGTGGATTATTTGGGGCTGGAGAGATGGCTCAGAGGTTAAGAGCACTGACTGCTCTTCCAGAGGTCCTGAGTTCAATTCCCAGCAACCACGTGGTGGCTCACAACCATCTGTAACGAGATCTGGTGCCCTCCTCTGGCATGTAGGCACACATGCTGTATACATAATAAATAAATCTTTAAAAAAAAAAAAAAAAAAAAAAAAAAAAAAAAAAAAAAAAAAAAAAAAAAAAAAAAAAGGGTGGATTATTTGTGGGGCATTTACCCACCACCCCCACAGTTCCCCAGAGTTTTCTTGAGTGTGAGCAGCAGGAAATATTAGATAGAAGGATTTGTTGTGGAGAATCTTGTGGAGATAAACAGATAGAAAATAAAGGAACCTTTTCCAATGGGCCCCGACTGTCTCTGCCCCAGGGTTTTTATAGAGATGCCAAGGGGTGGAGCAAATGACCTCCTCCCCCAGCACAGCCAAGTGCAGACCATCTCAGACACCTGCACTCAGGCCTGTGGTCCTAATCATCCTCTATGCGGACCTGCTGGGTAAAGCCACGAGGAACCCGAGAATGGGCTCCCACAATTATTGAATCTACTTTGAAAAGAAAAAAGAATATGGATATGATAATATAAAAAGGTAGATCATTGAATCTACTTTTAAAAGGCAACTACTAGTTTTAAATATTTTGCATTGGATTGGATTTTTGTATATTATATACAAATTTTGTATAATGATACAAATTTGAGATTGATTTTGTTAGAAAATACTGTACATATATTTCTAATCTTGTTCAAGGTATCGTACCTATATCTCATTTAACAATGTAATGTAATTTTCTAGTCCTTGAAAGTTATTATTACCTACTAATTAGAATATAAAGAAATGCAAGTTAGTAGTCAGTCATTGCAATCAAACTTGTCATATTAGGTATGTTTTTCAAGGTCAAACAGAAATATATTTTAGATATACAGGTCATCTTCAAACACTTCAGAGATCTACAGTAGAATATGGCATTTAAGATGTTTTAATAACATTGATTCTTTTTTTATGATAATGAGACATGTCTACTCCTGGTAGCACCAATATACTTTAGAGAAGATGATGGGCATTGAAGAAACTCCTTATGGAGTTTACTTTCTTTGTGGCAGAAGTTAGCCATTGGGCAAGAAAGTGCCCTTGCCTCAACTGCTGACAGTATGT